ACCATTTATTGCCATCTTGTTAAAGATGTTTATGCTGCAAGAGTACGAAATTTGCATGCATACGATGCCATCAGGTTTATGCCAATTTATTTACCGGTGCCATTTGTTATATTTATTTTGTTTCATTGATCGAAAATATCTTTGTGAAATAATTAGTAAAAATGTATTGTCTCGATGGACTTTTCCTATTGTTTCAGACGGTAATCTTCAAGGTGATAACTATGAGTTTATGTGTGGACATATTTATAAAGAGAAAGATGTTTTGTTATCAAGGTAATTGATGTTTCAAATAATTGAGATTTTAATTGTTTATATTAATAATACTTATTTCTTTGTAATTCAATTAGACCTTGCTCACTTGGTGAGAAAGTATTGATCGGTGCCGGTTCAGAGATTGTCGAAAATGTTAAGATAACAAATTTTGTCATCGGTCGAAGAGATACAATAGGTACTTTCCAAAATAATGAATAAAAATGAAATTTGAACCAGTTTTTTTTTTTGTGATTACTTATTTGTTATCTCTAAATTAGGCAAACATTGAAATAGATGGTGCTTATATTTGGGATGACGTAAAAATCAAATCAAATTGTTCTGTATTCCTACTGGTGAAGAACGTTGTACTAGATGAGAATGTCATCGTCAAAAAGGATGTATACTTTCTTATGGTGTAAGCAAATTCTTTGATATTGGTATTAATTTAAAATTGCGGTTTAATTATTAACTCTATAATTTTAGGCAATTATCGGACCTAATGTGACATTAGAACCACATACAAAACTCACAAACAAAAGAAAACAGAGATTGATAGTGATGAGAAAGAGTTAAATGAAAGTAGTTAGTAACTATTAATGTTGATTTTCTTTAACTAATATTTTTCTAATATTTTAAAATTACAGTAATAGCTTATGACGCTACATTAGTTGGTGAAAATGGGCAAGGATATGTTTAGAGTGATGAGATATCATACGCAAATGATGATGAGCTTGATGTAAAGAATATTCAAGTTGTGGGGCTTGGTAATTTAATAATGAATTTTAAAAGTATAATTTATTGTCACGGCCGGTGCTGAAATTTGGACCTATTTTAATATGAATTTTTAAAAAATTTTGATGGTATTTTTTCCCTGCTTTTTTTTATGATTAGTTAACGTTTAGGGTAGAATTGATAATTGAAGAGTATATGTAGATTTTAGCAGTGCTTATATTTTCAGATCGCGACCCTAAATTTCAGCATCGCGACATTTATTATTTTAATGAGTGTGTTATTAATTCCTATTTGTTTTACCTAGCTTATGATATCTCCAATATATCTCTTACTGATAGTGATTCACCGCCATTAGTGATATACAATTCTTCAGATGAATCAGCCACTGAAGAAGGATCTTTAAAAGAATTCTTCAAAGAAGTTTCCTAAGCACTTGAACGAGCTTTTTTGGGTGGTCATACAGTAGATATTTTTTTATTGGAATTAAATACTCTGAGAATGACTCCAATACAAGGTTTCATGATTTACGTGTTAGCGTAATACCTGCTATATTAGGGCAAATCAATATTGACAATTTTTTAACTAGACAGAAGATGTAAATATTGTTCAATATAAGGATTGTCATACTTTGTGATTTTACAACCATTAATATATATTTATCAAATACGTATTAATTATTCAGATATTGGACCAATGGGGTCACTTATTGGAAATTAATTCATTCCAAATTGATACTTTATATATTTTGCATATATTTTGCAGGTATCTCTCTGACAGCTTTTGTCACGATTATTACTTATTTAAAAGAACATAAGATAATTAATGTAAATTAATAATGTAGGGCCATTGTGCGAAAGCACAGCATTATTCCAAACTTCGCTCTGACAATAAAAAAAGCTATATTTTTTGGATGTATTGGATGAGGATGCAATTCTGGAATGGAATTCGTCTGATCTCGCTGACAATGATCCTTCAAAATCTAACATAAGAAAACGGGTACGCTTGTTTGTTTTTTATTTAATATATTTAAGGTTATTTGTGTTAATTTTTTTTGTTTTAAGTGGCATCATTAATAAAATGGTTGGAAGAAGCTGAAGTCGAGGATTCTGATGTTGATGATTAAAAACATTAGATTTATGGGATTCTTTATTTTTTTTATTTTTTTTTGGTATTAATGTGACTTCTTTGGTCTTTTGACTTTATTACCATTTTTGGGTAATAGTTTTTACATGAAACTATTACAAAATGAGAGTACAACTGTCTACACATGCAACTTTTCTATATTACTTATTTAAGGAGTCTACTTAAAGGTTCTTTAATAATTGTTATATCTAACATTTTTGTTTAAATGTTTCATTTTAAAATATTTGATTCTGCATCTTTAATATTAATTTTACTAAGTCATATGGGTATTCATTCTTCTGTATTTGGATTCTTATCTTAACTTTAAGATTAATTTATTTTTAAAGAAAATTTACTAGAGTTGTTTGTAGTTTATTTTATAGTTGATTTAGTTTTTTAATCGTTATAAAATTCATATTCTTTTTTTTTAATGTTAAAGTCCCTGCTTTTGAAGATTGATTTTTTTATTTAAGTATTTAGACACGGATGCCTTCAGGGGCTTTCATACATAGGAGATTACAACTAAGCCAACTATGGGTCTTGCTTATTTAAACCCTCTGCATATGTAATCTAACTTGTAATCATAAGGACATCTTCTGGGTTATACTTATTTAAAGTACCTGATGCTTTTAAGATCCTTAGAACTAGTTTATCCTTAACAAGAAACTTACTAAAATCTTCCATGTCCTATATACAGTTGATCTAGTTTTATGCAAGACATTATAGTTACCTAACACTTTTTTTTTTTTTTTTCCCTTAAGTAGTCATGCTAGTGCTTTATTAAGATTTTGAAATTACATTTGCAATTATATAAATATCCTTAACAACTAAGCTCAGCA